GCTACTACTGCTACTACTGGTACTACTGCTACTACTGCTACTACTGCTGCTGCTGCTACACGACTACGACTACTACTACTACTACTACTACTACCACTACCTCTTACTACTACTACTACTACTACTACTACTACTAGTAGCTGGTACAATAGTTGCTGATTCTTGGCGATCGCCTTGGCGGATGCCGTGCAATGCGATGTTCTCTTCTCGGGGCTTCATCTTCAGAATCTTCCTCCGAAAGTTACCCAGTCCCCCGGAAGGATCTGAAAAGTAGATCCCCCAATCGGGGACCCTATACTACTACAGCGTACTTTACAGGAAAATCACTGGACGGATCTAGTCATTGTTTCCTGGCAGAAACAAAGAGAAACAAGCTTTCGGGCTGATTTGCTGTCTGGTTCTGTTCTCGGCTGCATGCATTTCAGTCAATGCTAGATTCGCTAGCTTCTGCTGAATGGATCGTATGACCTTGCACAACCCTTGCTGAACAGTTGGACGGATTAGAGAATAGTTGGTGGGTGCTTCTAATGACATTATCAGGACTAAAGCGGAAGGAACGGCAGGAATCGCCCATTTTGGTCGGTGGTTTGCACGTGGATGCCGTCCCGGGATGTCGAGAATGAACCCTGGACCCACGTTGAGACTCGATAACTGCAAATGCTAGGACCCTAAACTCCTTAAGCCCTAAGTGTCTGAAAACCCTTAACTAAACCCTAAACAGAAGCCCCACAACCTTTGCGTACAGATACTTTAGAAAGGCCTTCCATTAGTTCTCGAAGGTCTGGCGCCTATTATGGGGCCTTGATGATTAGGGGCGTCGGTATACTACAGACATGTAAGCAGCACCAATCCTGTAAGCCGTTGTACTGTACACCTTGAACCCCCTTGCATCGAGCCTTCTGGAAGACATCCGGATCAGAGAAGATTTTCTGGACCTCTCATCGTTCTGAGGTTCTCGCTGGCTTAGAGGCGTAGGGTTTTTGACGCTCACAATCGGGCCGTCTGCAGACAAACATACGCTCAGGGTGTACGGTTTCGAGGTTTAGGGTTTACGGTTGGGGGTTCAATGGTTCTCATGTGGTTAGAGGTCCAATTCTGATGTCGGGCCTCGCAAAGGTTTGGGGATTTACTGTGGGCAGAAGGCAAAGTGTACCGTTATAACTAAACCCTTAACCCTTAACCCTTAAACCCTAAACCCTTAAACCCTAAACCCTAAACCCTTAACCCTTAACCCTTAAACCCTAAACCCTTAAACCCTTAATCCTCAACCCTTAACCCTAAACCATAACTGTAAAGCAACACGGAAGTTGCTGTAGCCTGCTCAGCATCCCAGCACAGGATGAGTGAAAACGTTTGGTTTAGGGTTTAGGGTTAGGGTCCCTGTTAGGGTTTAGGGTTTAGGGTACAATAAACTTAATGACTCAAGGAAAGCGCTCTATGAACATTGATAATGATCAGGCTACCTAACTTGGAAATTCAATCCTCCTTCGGCTGGCACCTTAAAGATAGTTACGCCGTAGGCTCCATTGTAGTTCCTTTTCTGAAATTACCTTAAACCCAGGCCCCATGGCAGTCCCTTCTGTTGCCTCATAGGATCCTGACTATAAACCACAAAAAGGAACATAAAATGGAGCCTGTAGCTAGGCACATGCAGTGTTGGGGTTCACCCTCAAAACCCCGGAACCCTCAAAGTCTCGACCCTGAGGTCGAAGCTCGCCCTGCACCCTAAACCCTGAAACCCGAAACCCCAATCCGTAATCCCCAGTCCCTAAACCCTTTATTGCAAGCGACTCAACCAGGACAGAAACAAGAGGCACACCCGAAGCCCACAGCTTCAAGCTAGAAGCCTAAATCCTAAACCCTGAACCCCTAAACCCTAATCCGTAATCCCCAAACCCTAAACCCTCAACCCGGAAACTCTAAATTCTATAGGTAAGTGGAAGATCTACGGGTCATCATCCTCAAGGCCCAAAGAAAATTCAGCAAGCCGGGCGCCCCGAAAGAACTTCAGAGAGCCTGAGTTTAGGCTTAGGGTTTAGTTGAGAGTTTAGGGATTAGGGTTTAGGGATTAGGGTTTAAGGATTAGGGTTTAGGGTTTAGGGGTTGGTTAGGGTTGACAGAAACAGCAAAGGCTCTCCATAGTCAACCCGATGAAGCACAAGTTTGAACTCCCTTTATATAACTCCTGTTGTCAAAGAAACCCTGCCAGGGTCGTGCCCCCACGCCCACACACACACACACAGAAGCACAAGCACACGCACAGACACACTCGCACACACAGACGTGCGCGCGTGAGACATGTTTACTGTTGAGCCACTCCCCTACGCACCCTAAACTTTGCCTAAACCCTCACTTCATTGCAGCCGTGAGTCGATAGCACTGATGCTGGAAGAGTAGGCGCCTACCTGAGCTGACTCGACGTGGGCGATTTCTGGGGCCTTCGGCTTAAGAGCTTCAGGGTCTAAAAAGATCACGCCCCGAAGGCCAGGAGGCCGATTAATGTAGGGGCCTTAATAAGTCGAATAGGGTTTTGGGTGTGTAGCGGACATGCGTCAGATGCGAATGAAGCTTCCGATGCCTTGTGCATCCAGCAAATGCCTATACAGTCAAAGCCGATCGTTTAACAGAATTTGGACAGAATGCAATTCATGTCTCGCAACATGGAGTCATATTTTAATGACCAGTTGTCGAGCAACTGTACAGTAAAATCAGTAGCACAAGGACATTTACGCGTGAGATTTCTCGGTTCTGCAGAGAACTTCAAGACTTTTTTGCAGGAAGCGTAGCTTCTGTAGGCGCCCAGAAAGGGTTTTGGGGTATATTCTACTCTAATTAAGTGAGGAACCACCAAAATAGTATAGGTAATTATACAGGCCCTGATCACTAAGCAGCAGCAGCAGCAGCAGCAGCAGCAGCAGCAGGAGTAGTAGTAGTAGTAGTAGTAGTAGTAGTAGTCGTAGTAGTAGTAGTAGTAGTAGTAGTACTACTACTACTAGTAGTATTGATACTCTTCCTACTAGTAATGCTACTAACACTACTACTACACTACTACTACTACTACTCCTCCTCCTCCTCCTCCTGCTGCTGCTGCTGCTGCTGCTGCTACAACAACAACAACTACTACTACTACTACTACGACTTCGACTACCACGACAACTACAGCACGGCCACGACTACGACGACGACGACGACCTCTTCTTACTCTTATGATTACCACTTCTCCTCCCACGCTGTAAACCCTAAACTCCGACTTCAACGATTCATTGGAGCGGTAGTGGAAGCTTTTGCAGACAGACTCTTGTGCTCAGTCTTTCAAGTGCAGAGGGCGTCATTCCAGGCCCCAGCTACCGGGACCTACCGAACCTTAGGGTTCTAGTTTTATATCAGCCCCAACCTCTACATAATGCGAACATAGAGCCCCAAGCAGAAGGTTCTGGGTTCCCTTCGCAGGGTCGGTACACCGTGTACTTTTCCTCTAGACTTACTAGATTCTGTGCACATAATAACTTAATGCTATATGTTTAGCGAATAAGCGTACTGGACCGTGCTGTGGTAGAGTCTACCCGCTCACTGTTGCTCAAGGTTCGCAAATCCGGACACAACCCCAAGAAAGGTCCTGAGCTTTCTACCCTACACCACCACAGCCCAAACCCTTAAACACTACTACAACTCAAAAGCCTTAAGAGTTGAACGCCAAACCCTAAGTCGACCTCACCAAACGAAGAACAACAGCAAGAGGGCAGCTCTCTCAATTAGGATCCTTTTTGGGCCCCCCAAAACAGTACGGCGTCCTTATGTTAAAAGGACCCTAAAGGGGGCCCCAGTTTAGAGAACTACCCAAGAGCTCTTCGACGGGCTGCCAAGCCCCAAAGGCGTCCTTTGAAGCGCCTGGTCCACTCGAGCATCTCCTGCCCAGAGGGCATCAGACGTTTTGGGTTTGGGTTTTGGGGTTTGGGGTTTAGGGTTTAGGGTTTAGTGTTCTGGGTTTGAGTTTTGGTTTCGGATTTAGGCTTTCGAGAAGGCCGTCAGAGTAGGCAAGTGACCAAGGATTGACCCTAAACCCTAAAGCCCCAAACGAAAGTGAACAAAGTGCCCTATACCCGACTGCCACAATTGCAAAAGCTCTGGCCGGAGCTCGTCCATCCAACATCCGTCAGCAAAGGCGCCACTTGTAACATGGCAACAAGTAAAGACAGGTAAAGCAGAAGTGCAGTAGATCAAAAATGGTCGGCTTCACACCGACATTCAGGCATCAGATCTACTGTTTGAACAGGGAGTCTATGTATGTGTTACTGTTACTCACTCACACTCTACGAACTTCAGGAGCTGTGGAAACCACACGGCCCGGGACTGCACCTCAAGTAGACTCATGATTATAATTAGTGAACCCCAATACCTTGGGGGTATGTTGCGGCTTAGTTCGCTGCAGGTCTTCTTTCGTTTGCAGTCGCAGGCTCTCGAGAAGTGTTGTCTGTTCTGTCCGGCTGCCGGCAGGAGAAGCTCCGCAAAATCACCCCCGCGCTGACAAGCCAGCATTCGGCCTCAGTCAGAGTCATCGCCCTGAAGCAACAAAGCCTGGTTTGTGAGCACCAGAGTCTCGGCACTCCACTGTGCCGATTCCACAGCATCCGTGACGAAACCGATCAAAGCGCCACAGGTGGTGGAGACCGCACTTGCACCCACTCCCCACGGGCTCGAAATATCGTAAGCCAGGACAACACCCAAGCCAGCCATGAGCGCTGAAGGCCACAGGAGACTATTTGTGACGTTGGGGCCTTGTGATTGCGGTTCACCATCTCAACAACACATCGTCCACAAGAACGAGTTGTTGAAGATCTTTTGACATAGCTCTCAGTTGAATCGCGCTGCTGCACTGCAAGAAGGCAGTCGGGTACCGCGTCATGATGTGCAGCACCATTCTGCGCAGCCGAGCTCGAGGATCCTCCTGGTCGTACTCTCCGGGCGACAGGTCTGAGTCAGCAGTGTCGACAGGAGCGCAATCACAGCCGACTCAAACGCATAGGCCAAATCGTGAAGTTCACATGTGCTGCATCCCAGATCTTGGCCGCATCCTGTCCCAGCGCTTCCTGCGTGGTGTCGCCCTGCAAGTAACCCTCCAGATGATACTTTCGGTACACCGTCACCAAAGCTTGAAAGCTCGCCTTCTCGTTGCCCGTGACGGCCATGATGTGCGCAGCTAGCAGTGACAAGTCAGGATGATAGCCGACCTCAGGCTTCCAACACGCGAAGGCGCGCAGGACTGACGCCACGTTGCCCCGGCCGGGGGCGGGGGGGTTGGGGGGGTCTCCGAATGAGGCAGGGGGATTTTTGTTTCAGTCATCCACCTTGACGATGTCAAGGGCATCGTCGATCTTTTCTACCACCTCGGCGTCCAAGCTCTCGTGGGCCTGCATGAGGAAGCGGCTCTAGGGAACATCGGGCATCGGCTCGCTGAAATGCCTCACCCGGATTTGCCTGTAGGGCTGGGAGGCTCTTGGCCCCAATACCACACTGGATTGATCTGCGGGTCGCTGGTCCATTGTTGGATCCGCCTCGAGGTGGAGAAGCGCCCAGGCTGAGCTGGCATCGCAGCGGCAGATCCGGGCAACTATAGACGATTACGTACTACCCTACAGCTCCAAGTACAATTAGTCTATACTTAGACCTTAAAGTAGTCCTTATATAAGCACTTTACGGCCTAAGTGTGTACTATACAGGTACATGGAGCCTTAGGGCTAGCTAGCTGTCAGGGCAAGCTCTTTCAGCTTGGGGCAAGTTCATGCTGCGCTCATTCGGCGCACTGCATGACCGATATCACTTCCGTTATGAGGCTTCAAACTTTCGAAAATTTGTTCGGGGTTTAGGTGTGTAGGCTGTGAGCGACTGTCACGCCTATGCCCTCATGATAGGGTTTAGGGTTCAGCGCATAGAATTGAGGATGTTGTGCCCAGATTTGAGACTGTTTAGGATGTCCAAGGCAGAGCTCAGGATTTATGTGGCTTAGTAGGAGCCAGACGAAAACACCCTTGCTGAGAATCCCATGCGTAGTGTCTGAGATTTTTGAAGAGCTAATATTGAATGTTTGGATCTGTTCGGTGGGCTTAGAGCAGCAATGCCGCTACCCGTCACGAGCCCGGCAATTCCTTTGTTCATTAATTATACCTCGCCTTCCAGAAACCCTGCATCCTCTTCATCCTTGCAAGGAGTATACCAAATGCTCATATGCATGGTTCCTAATAATGCAGATGTTTCAGGTGTTTAAGGTTGTGCTATCACGTGTCAAGCAACGCCGAGTCATACACCCTCAACTCGAAGCCCTGCTTTCTCAGACCCAAACCCTGCACCTCCTAACTTAGAAGCCCTAAACCCTAACAAAGGCCCTTCGAAGCCCCGAGGGCGCCGGCAGCATCTGGACGATCTCCACATCCCCGGCCATGACCGCCGCCACAAACGCCCCGCAGGAAGTGCCATGGAAGCCTCACTCGAAGGATCATAGGGTGTTGCGTTTGGGGCTTTGGGGGTTGATGGTTAAGGGTTTCGGGTTTAAGGTGTTCGGTCTACGTAGGTTTTCTTGTCCAAGAATTTGGCAAGTGAGCTTGTAATAGGCTTTCGAAACATCTATGCAGTTCAACAAAGCTTTGCAGTGGTTCCGACGATTCAGGGTTTATCGGGCTAAGGGGTCAAAGGGTCGTTCACGGGTGTACAAAAAGGGTTTCTGTATAGGCTTAAATTAAAATAAGGATTGGGCATCAGGTCTGGTGGAAACAGAGGCATTTTGGGTTTTGCTCCATGGCACAAGCAGATGCTTGGTTTGCGGTTTGCGATACTTCCCTTCGCCTTTCCGCAAACACGCCCGCAAAGGAGATCCTAGATCTTGTTTTTTGGGGAAAGATGTTTGGGGTTTGGGGTTTAGGGCCGAACGGAACGAAGGATGTTCACGCGACTGCCGAAAGGGGTCTCCCTCAATGACTTAGAGGCTTTAGACCTAAAACCCTAAACCCCAAACCCTAAACCCTAAACCTTAAACCCTAAAACTTTAGAGGCTGTGGTACAGGGCTTTGGGCTTCGGGGCGAGGCTGAAGTCGATGCGGCAATATCGTGGAGGATTCGGTAAGCTCTCGCTGGCACTCCGGGAACTCCCTAAACATCACTAAACCCTCAACGGACCTACACCCTCCAAACACTAGCATAACTAGAGTAACTAGAGTTTCCACGAGGGATTTCGGGCTTTAAGAATTCAGGGCTATGTTGGCCTCCTGCCTGGCTTAAGGCTTAGGGCGAACCTAGAATTCAGTGTTTGAGGAGCAGGTCTGTGGATTGGACGTCGGGATTTCAGTGGTCACACTCGGACTCGCACTGCCCAGGCGAGGCATATGTTCACTGGTGAGCGAAGGGTGATTTTGGACGGCAGCCATGTAACAACAACAGCAACACCAAGAATAAGGATTGTAAGCACAATAATAACACACCAGCAACAACAACCAACAGCAACAGCAAGCGCAGCAGCATCAACAGCAACAGAAACAGCGACAGCAACAGCAGCAGCANNCAGCAGCAACACCAACAGCAACAGCAACAGCAACAGCAACAGCAACAGCAACAGCAGCAGCAGCAACAACACCAACACTGACCAACACCAACACCAACACCAACACCACCACCACCACAACCACCACCACCACCACCACCACCACCAACAACAACAACAACACCAACAACAACACCAACACCAACAGCAACAGCAACAGCAACAGCAACAGCAACAGCAACAGCAACAGCAACAGCACCACCACCACCACCACCACCACCACCACCTCCACCACCACCACCACCAGCACCACCACCACC